TGTAGTAAATGGTGACTGATGCACGTTAAATCTGTCGAGTCTCAAAGTCCTCCATGTTCCCACAACAAATCAATACCTCTGGGGGTACTGATCCAGGAGTTTCCTTGTCTTCTGGATTGGTTCAAAATTACAAGGCTACTGAGTTGAACGCAAGTAGTCGTAAACCCATGAAATTGCGTCGGCTGTTCAACGACGGTTATAAAATAAAAATATAGACGAGAGGTCATGGATCCAAATTGGGTTGAAGTACCACACACCACTTCCTTTTCTTTTATTGTTGTATGTCAATTTGTGTATTCAGCAAGATTTATAATGAATTATTTTTTCATATGCGCAACAAGTTACACAACATGCGTTAACAAGAGGGATGAAGCACTAGAGAAAGTATTTTTAGCACTATAGCACTATATTTAGCATAGTTCTATATAAGTATTTTTTCGGAAAAGTTCTTTTCACTAAGGGGTATTCATTTTTGATGCGAATTCAGAGATACAAACAAGAGCAAGATTTTCGAGTTTTTCACGGAAAAATAAATTTATTAATAATATTCTCGTTCACAGCTCCGAATTTGCGTACCCGAATTTTTCGTACTCTGTGCGAAGGTTTTTTTTTTAAACTGGTTGTCTTTCTCCCTCGACATTGATCGGAAGTGCGTGAACCACTTGCAGTGAGAATGCTCCTTTGGGACATGAAGTTTGATCAGACCATTGAAACTCCTCTGTCTGTCACAATGATCAATTTTACGGATGTTAGGTAGTTCATACTCTTTAGTGGAGGGAACTATGATTGTAATGCGTTCTCATACATCTTAGTAAAGGAGGGAGACTTTAGACAGGGATTTGGTCCTCACCCCGCATGTGAACTGATCACGCATGTGCGAATCACGATCTTAAAAAATATTTTTAGTAAACTTATTTAATTATGAAAAAAACCAAAAACAAGAAAAATTAGTTCAATAATCTTTATAAAAAGTAGACTATTAGAGTATACGATTCGAAAATTTAGTTTGTTATAAAGAAGCAGCACATTTACGGCATTATTATAAAACCGCTAGTGTGAATTAACCTTTTAAATGTCATTTTTAGTGCTGCCATCTGTAGCGAAATACCCTGTAACATGAAAAACTTTATTTTAACTGTAACTGTGCATTAAATATTGTAGCAGACAGATGGTCAAATGAAAAGCAAACAATCCCTCTCCCCTCTGATTGGAAACAAAAAGATCCTCCTGCTGCTCCTATCATCAGTGATATTCTAAAAATGGAACTGTAAATTCTTTAGCAGTAAGAATATCATGGTGTAAAAGCGGGAAGATCGAATTCAACTGCAAATTTTTGTTTCCTGGTTTCTTATCGTTTACGCATTTAATCCTGACGTTTTATTGTGTTTAAATGTTTTCCCCTTGCTACATATAAAATATATATTGTGTATTATATATTTTAAATTCATCTTTAAATTTAGATGCCAAAGAACCTACATGCATTTTGTTTGTTAATAAACAAAGGATATTTTAAAGGCATAGGTAAGTTTAGTTTTATTGTTTATCACATCTTGCGCACAACCTTGTTAGTTTATAAAATAAATCATTGATAAAAAGTATTTTATATAGTCTTGACTTGACTAATTTTAAAACTTTTAATTTTAAGACTTTAAATCATATTAGATTTAATCATTCCGAGTGTTGGCGTCAGAAGTATTTAAAATATGCAACTTACTTGTCGAAATTGAATGGTATATTAAAAATTGATTACATAAAAAAATAGCTAACAGTTGGCAACAAAATAATGTATATTATACTTACTCATTGTGTTGCATCATTCATCAATTGTTTATATCGGGCATTTTATTTGTTTTTACTTTCTTTTGTTGTTTACTTTTTGTATTTGGTTTGAAAAATATTAATATTTTCTGGTTTTCTTTTATTATTGTATGCCAATTAGTGTAATCAGCAAGATTTATAATCAGTTCTCTTTTCATATGCATATTTTGTTTTGACTAACCTTTATGTTAAGTTAAAAATCAAACTTCATGAAAATATTTTTTTTTTAAAATTGTGATTATTAAGTAAAGCTTGGGACAAGTGAAGATATTTTTTATCTATAAAGATTTTTTGGATTCACTGAACTCCATTTATTAATGCTCAAATTGAAACAGTGTATTAATTCTAAATCAATTATGTATTATTTCTAACTTTTATAAAATCAACTAAAAAAGTCTTGTCTAGGAACATTAGCAAAATTCCAAGAAACTAAAATCTTACGCGATAGGAAATCTAAAAATTTTTTTTTCATATCTGTATCCAGTGAAAATAGTTGACAAGTTTTAGCTGCAAGCAGGTAGTGATAGTAAAAACATCACAAAAAGCAATGACTGCATAAGTGTCAATGATAATATTTAAAAAAGTTAATATTGAAAATATGTCATATCCATTAATTTTTTACATCTGTGTAAAACAAATATTTTAGATATAATCCATCTAATTTTCTAATCATTATAAATATCTATTATATTTAAAAAAAAAAATATTTGTAATGGCATTACTGTAATTTTTTAAATATTTAGAAATGCTGTGTTTGTTTGAGATTCAACAGTAAAAATACTGTACTTAAAAATAATAAAAGCAGGTTCTGTATGATCTCAATGTACGGTGTAGGTTGAATTATCGATGTAGTTACAGACTCAGTGTCATGCAGGAAATAATAAAATTTTCTGCCTGGCTGCATCATGTGGTATAGTACGAATCTTGTTTTTAGTACTGAACTGAATATCTTGCGGGAATCAATAAAATCAAGTTCTGACCAGTTATCTATAGTGAAGATCGAATCTCGTATGTTGCAATGGTCTAAATATCAATGCTGGAAATAATAAACACAAATTCTGTGTTGTTCCACTGTGTCATGTTAATTAAGTCGGTATGTTGTGATGGGCTCAATCCAGCAGACAATTTTGGATTGTCTGCGTACATCTTATGAGATATACACAGTTTCAAATCAAAACATGTTATTAAAAGCACAAGAACTTAAAATAATGCTTGAATATAGGTTTTGGAATTGCATTTCAGCTACGCAAAAAGCTGTGGAACATTTTCATGCCTGTACCATCTTTCCCTGGTAGTAGGATTTAGAGAGACAATCTGCTACACTATTTTCGTAAATCTAATTTAGCCTGCAAGCCCTTAACAGCCTGAGAGAAATTATTCTAAAATTTCAGCTTAATTAAACATGGTATGCAACAAAATTTGCAAACATGCGGTATTTAAAAATTATGCAAAAACTTTTTGTACTTAAGATTTAATTAGTAGTGAATTAACATTGTGAGGTTTATCATTTTGAAGAATGATATCAATTTGCGGATGCTGTAAAAAGTTCCATTTTGGTTAGAAGGTTTATGCTATCAGGCATGTATTTGTTCCTTGCTAGATTTATTGGAGGGTAATTTTTACTTTCTTGTAGGTTATTTTATAATACCTGACGTAAGAGCTTGGGGCAGCCTCATACCACAAAGATCTTTTACATTGAAAGATTTATCTCACTAATTTACTATTAGAAGAAAAACTGGAAATGTGTCACTTAAATAAAAGAAAAAAAAACCCTGCTCAATTCCCTTTAAAAGTGTAAATGAATTAAATATATCCTTATTCTCAAGTGTTATCACCATTCTTTTATGATTATATTCTGACTCTTGTTTAAATTTTCTTTAACTTTTTTCAATTTCTTATAATGATATTTTATGATTTATAATTCAGCATGCTATCACACTTTTCCAATTGCCTTGCTTCCTGGTAACCTAACTTTCGTAATATAAATATGTTAATTAAAAAAGTTTGAAATTTTAGGACAAAGAGTACATAATATTTCTTTTTTACAACATAATTTCTTTCATTCTTATTTTTATTGTTCTACTTGTGAAATGAAAAATAATTTTTAAACATTTTAAGTCATAAATTATTAAATCTGAGAGGCATTTTGCTTGTAAAAAAATGATTTCTTCTAGTACACTGGAAAAAAACGGAAAAATGGAAGAAATGGAAGAGACTCTAAATTACCAATACATTATTTAGCAATATTATAAGAATATATAGTTTTACTTTAAACAAATTAAATTTAATGCAGTGTCAAAACTATAGAAAAATTTTTCTTCTTCTTTTTTTTTAAAAGCATTTTTGTATTTTTTTACTTCAGTTTGATACGAAATTTTAAAATCAATATAAATTATTTAAGAGACTGTGGAAGTGTTTATTCTTAAACAGTATAAAATTTTATTTATAAAAATAAGTACATTATTTACAATTATGAATTCAATGTGTGATTTATAGTAGAGTATGTGCTTAGTATGTGATTTTTTAGTTTATTAGTACAAATTAAAGTTCTTTATTTATAATTATAATATTAGATTCTAATAAACTAATTTAAGTAAAATATTGAAGAATTAAAATTATTTTAGAGAACTTAAATTAATTTAATTTTTTTTTTTCAATGGGTGCTTTTTGGTTTTTAATAGCTTGGAAATTTAAAATATTATTATTCCGTTTAAAAATTACAATAATAATTGCACTACATTTTTGATTTTATAAAATATAATTAAAAATGTTTTGGACATTAGTGTTTTCTTCTGGAAAACTGAAAGCTGCAATAAAAAATTAGGGTAGTGATTTAAGATTTTTAAGTTGCCTTCACATAGAGGGGAACACTTAGAGGGTTGAATTCGTTATTACTGAATAAACCTATCGAAAATGTTTTAGGCATGAATAGTCATCCATTTCTATTCTTTTTGACATCTTGTATGACATCCCTGTCAGTTATTTTAACTTAAACTTTTTTAACTATTTATCTGTGGTGCCTTAGTCAGTAAATTTTAACTATGATAAAAGCTATTATCTTACAAAAAGTATTCTATTGTTCTATTCAAATTTATTTAAATCTTTTTTTTTTTTAAAGAGCGTTTTTATTGTTTTGATTTAAGTATTTTCGAAGTAGGAGGGGATAAACTGTGTTCTTTCAGAACTTTCAAAATTTCTCTTAACAAATTTAGTCGACTTTATTTTTCCAAAATAAGCTTTCAATGAGGACAGAAAATGGCATGTTTTTTTAAACTCAATTAATTAAACCTAATTTATATTTTAATTATTTTATGAAACAATTTTTGCATATTGTAAAATATTTTTACTGTGTACTTCTTCACTTTTTGATTATGAACCAAAATCCACTATCGCAAAGGTTACTCGAATAGAATTTCTTACTTTTCTCATAATTTTTCAGTATAATTAAATGGGCGATTCCATGATGCAAAGGACAAAAGAAATGGAATAAATAAATAAAATAAAAGTAAATATAAGCTTTTCTCTGTTAACAAATTTGAAAATAATGAAAAAATATTAAAATTTTAATATAGTTTGTACCTGTGTCATCAGTCACGAATTTTTTTTTTTTCTATTTGCAATTTTCTATATCATTTCATGTGTACTACTTTCAATGTTTCCTGATTAATTTGAAAATTTTTTAAATAAATTTTCAAAAATAATCTTATTATTGCTTATAGAAGAAGGAGGTAATTTCAAAATTAAAATATGTTTTACTCTACTTAACGTCAAAAGCATTTCATATTTTTATTCTAAATAAAACTTTGATATTTTTTATCATTTTTTCTTATATGCATAATATTATTTGGCTATTGAAATTCATCCCATATAATTTTTTAAAAATATGTTAAATATTTATCATTGAAAAAAATTTCAAACTAAGAAATTTTTTAAAAAAAGTATCGTCTGTCACCATGTAATTGCCCAAATACTTCGACTGACGAGAATAAATTCAACCATATTTTTACATAGGCAATCGCTTTATTAAGGCATACGGTGAAAATCTGTAAATCTAATTTTTACTGTGGACGCTGGGCCTCAGAAGGGTATATGTATATATTTTTTTCTTTTGAAATATATGGGTATTCTCGTGCATCACTTCTAATTGAAACTTAATATTAAAGTTATTATCGTCGCTAGCTGTCGATGTTAAATTGTTAAAAATGTATTGTCACATATTTGAACCAAATTGACTTATTTGGCATGACATTTTATTTTTGTTTAACTCGCAAATGTCAGCTTTGTATGTGTATATACTTGATTTAAAATTGATGTATCTATGTTATATTTAATATTGACCAATATTAAAGTTATTAACGTCGCTAGCTGTCGACCATGTTATTATGTAAGCTGCTACAAATTTATTTATGTATTCATACATATTTGAACCAAATCGATCGACTTACTTGGAATGGCATTTGTGTTTAACTTACGAATATCCGCGCAAGGATTTTAATGGTGAGAGCTCCCTCGAATTCGATAATTTATTCTAGTTGTTGAGTTTTTGAGCCCGTTGTCTCTTCCAAATTCGGCGTGTTCAGGCTAAATTTTTTTTTATTGCTCTAAACAGATTAGATAATTATGAAATACATTGGACTTCCAATAGAACAATTTTTGGAATTTTTAAAAAATCTTAGTTTTCCTGGTTGCTATACGCATCCCTTACTGTCTAACATAGTAGAAGTGTTATCAAATCGAATAGATCGACCAGATTTGCATTTTTTAACATTGCATCAAATTAGGTGTTTTGTCGAATTTGCAATTTAACACACAAGTAGTCCACTGTACGTAATTATATATATTTTCCTCGGCCAGATTAAGCTATGTGCTTGTATAGTTTCAATTTAAAAATAAATATAACAATTTCTTTTCTTAAATTATGCATTTAAAATTAGAGATACGACTTTGTTATTAATTAATACAATCTACAACTGTAATTTATCAAAATTTATTTCAGATTGACTAATGATATGGCCCAAGATGAAAACGAAGAAGACTTTTCCGGTCGTTTATTGCACCAAGCAGCATTATGGGGAAACGCAGAATTATTGGAGGATCTCTTACATGGAGAAATGGTATGTTGGTACATTTTTTTGAATACTACTATATCTATTGTCTACACAATACTATATTGAAACATACAGAATGTTTCGTAACCATCGCCCTCAATGTCTATTATTTGAATCCTTTACGAAAATAAGTGAAAAATAATGCTGTGACGTGTGGTGCTTAGGGGGGAATTAAAACCAACGGCTAGCTAACTTTTATTTTATTTTAAACAACATTATTATAGTTAGCACTCAACACATTCACAAACAAAACATATATGAAGAAGAAAATAAGGAGCTCTGCATGGCAGGCTTTCTATCGTTCGTTCACACTCTCTCACTCTCTCTGAGTTTTTTATCTAGTTTCTCACTAGGGGGCGTTACTAGTTCCAGTTTCTCCACAATGCTTATTTGGGGTTGTTCATTAATAAAGCGAGGAATAAACTAAATACAATAAAAAGTCTGCCTGATGAAACTTGGGGGTATTTTTAGAAATCGCCTTTTAACTGATCACGGTTGCTTCTAGAATTTAAACAGGTTTGAATGTTTTCAGCACCATTTTCTTCTGTAGTAACTTGTTACATTTTTATTGCGCTTTTGTTTTCTTTGCTTGCTTAAATGTTAATTTGCTATCCCTTCCTTATTTGCATAATTTTTTACTTCAGTTTTGACAAAAATTCTGATTTGTAACAAGGTCGTTACTTACCAAATGCTCTGGATATGGGAAATGTATATGGATTTTCAAGGGTGTAGTGGAGGGAGTACACGGAAGAACGACGTTCCTACGCTTTTTTACCCGTGAAATTATATTTTTTGGTCCATTTTGAAGATTTTAATAATAGAAAAGATGTATATATTTACTGTAAAAATTGTGTACTTCTGCAATTATTGATGCATTGTATTTTTTTTTCTTTTAAAGTAAATTAAAAAGTAAAAATTCTACGTCAAGTATCATTCTTCGCTGCTGCAGGCATATTTGGTAGTAATACCGGAGTCCCTCGCCAAGGTCCTAAATCCTCAATCCTTCTTATACGCCTCAAATAACAGCGGTAAAATCAAAGTAACAATTTAAAACCTTTGCAACCGGTTTTTTTTTTTTTTTAATATTGAGTTAAATTGTGTTTCGAATTTAATTTAAATCGGAAAAGCCTTACTTCAAAGTTCTCATAATTTAGGGAATTTTGAACCAAATGCAGTTAAAAATCATTAAAATCATGTTCTTTTTTTAAAATAACTTACTCATAAAATATTGAAATTTTTAGCGTTTCCCTTTTGAATATTATGCCACTACAACATTAGTGTAAATTCACTTATATAGTATGTAGTTACAACCACTAGAAATACTGACCTGAACTTTTGTAAGATGTGTGCGTTTTTTAATCGGAAATCGTTTCACCATGCATTTAATTAAATTGAAATTTTTGCAGCTTGCATTTCTTAATGCAAAAGACTCTCGAGGCCGAACTGCTCTTCACGCCGCAGCAACCAACGAAAACGAAACTTGTACGAGAATACTTCTCCAAGCAGGAGGTAATTTCCATTTATTTCACTTTAAGTGTTTACGAGTATTCTTTCTTTGCATCATAATTTAACTAATTGTAATAAATTTAATTTATCTTTTATGACAAATAATAATAATATATTGAATGGAAACAATTTATTTATTTGGTTTATTTTTAGAGGAATTAATGTCTGCTAACAAATCCTTCACGAAAAATTTACCTCAGAAACGGGCTATTTACAAATTGTTTATTGTTGAAACAGACCCTTCACACTATTTTTCGATTTAAAAATGGACGTTTCATAAAATTTTTCTAAATAATGCTGTTGAGAACGTCTTTAACTCATAATTTAAAAAATAAAAACTTCTTGAAAGACATGGTTTTTGCGTTTTTTCACAAAAAACAGAGCTCTATTTTCACAAACTTATGAGCAGGTTTGTCACTATTTCACAAAAACCGGTCCTATTTTCACATATTGACAAAATTATTAGTAGGTTTCTCAATATTTCACAACGAACAAGACCTTTCACGTAGATTCTTAAATAATCACTTATTTATTTTAATTCGAATTATATTACATTCATTACATCAGTTTTATTAATGGTAATATCAGGAATCGTCAAGGGGGAGCTTCAGTCCTTCACATTTTAAAAATAAAGGGTTACAGCCTTCTTCTAAGATTACAGTTTTTAACTCAATATTTGTGTAATTATACTTACAATTAAAAAAGCTCAATTTTTTTTGTGTGTGAATCAGAAAAAAAAAATCTTGAAATACAAGCGAGCTTTAATATTTTTTGATGAAAACTATTGCCGAATCATCCCTTACTCACCTCCTCCCCTCAGAGGAAATTTACACCCCTATTGCTGACCGATGGGAAAATGGTTTCAATTGTCACAGCGAACATAATAAAAAAAAACAATGAAACAGAATTAAAAATAAAAGATAAAAAAAACGTTAAAAGAGAGAGAAATAATTTACAGTTAAACAATTTATTTTATTAATTTAATGTTAAAACAATTCGAATCATGAACTCTTCCACTTTCGAAACACATGTAGAGCTTTATTTATTTATTTTAAATCAGTTAATGTTTTTATGTCGGTAATGGTTGACATCTTGTTTCCTTTTTAAATTCCTGCATCAATTCTGCACATTGTTTTTTTCATCAATTCTGCACATTGTTTGTTTCATCAATTCTGCATAGCTCCAAAGCAACAACAACAAAAAAATCTTTGCATTCTATTTGGTGGGATCCTTTATTTTACTGGAAGGGCTTGAGGCATTATAATGATAAGCTACATTTTTCCCAAGGGGATATTATTACATTGGACTTTTTCCTAATACAGTTTCCAGATAGATACTTTGCATATTTCTGGAATTTCGACTAAATAACAATAAATCACATTTAAATATCTAATTGCCTGCTTTTCTAGTTTGAAAATGTGGCTTGTCATTTTATTGTGTCAACCCATCCTATACAAAATAATTATTGTATATATCAGGGGTGGCCAACCTGCCGCTCGCGAGCCACGTACGGCTCTTTGAAGGATTATTTGTGGCTCTCGATAAATGTACCCGATTTCCCTTTTCATTTTTGTGCTATTGTATTTAAAAAAAATTATTATCGTTCCGTATGTGTTTCAAAATGTCTTTTAAATTACCGAGAACAAATATGAAAAACTAAGTGAAACGTTGTTTAATTCAAGGGGAGTTTTCCATTTCCAATATAATTATGACATAAAAAGCATCTGGAGAATTAGAATTAATAGAGATGCAAGAAGATCAAGCTCTACAATTAAAATATAAGTCGACGTCGATTGCTGAATTTTGGAAATTTGTACCAGAATCGAAGTATCCTGAATTAAAAAAGGCTGCTTGTCGAATTATTTCAATATTCGGAACAACGTACTTATGTGAATCATTTTATTCCACTTTAAAATTCGTGAAATCCAAACAATAAAGCACTTCAAAAAGTGAT